TGGGGAGCCTGGACCCCCAGTCTTGATGCGTGTCTCAGCAGGGGGCAGCTGTGTCTGAGTCGTTTATAAACTGGTCTGACACTCAAAAGAGTACATTTACCCAGGACCTCACGATAGGGAGAAGGGCAAGCCTGGGTTTTCTGCTGTTAGAAGGAAAGAAGTTCCGGCGTGAAGATGTGACTTCTTGCGTGGAGCTCTGAAGGACCAAGGGCAGCACAGCCTGAGGGGCAGGCGGGCTGGGTGCTCAGCCCTCTCACCACGCTGCTGTTAGCTGCGGGAGTTCCAAAGCCAGAAGACTGAGAGGCACGGATCGGAGATCAGGACGCTGCTGCCAGGGGCACCTCCCTGAGGTCCCGCACGCCCAGTGTTGCATCACCTTCACCACAGCACCGACCGAGCATCTAGGAAGCTGTCAATGGGTGTGCGCCCAGGTGCTGTGAGGAGCCCCGTGTAAGGCCATCAGAGGACACGTGTGCAATGACGGTGGCAGGGAGGCAGGGACTGGGTTTGGACACACCCTCTCCTGGCTCCAGGCATGATCTGTGCCACACGGCAGGCGCCCTGGGCTGGGCTGGCACGTGTTGCCACATAAACCTACAGGTGGGGGCCGCCTGGGCCAGTTGCAGCTAAGACACATGCACCTCCCCGCCCTGCATCCTCCGTGGTAGAAAATGTCCGTGGAATTCACCGAAGTTCCAGCAGGACCCAAGTACATGTAAAACCAGGCACAGAGTACCCCCTGGCTTTCAGGAGGGCATGCAGCATTGCAGCCAGACACCACCACAGGGCCTGTCCCAGGGACCAGCCCCCAGACTCGGACGCTAGTGCACTGGGCTTGCCTGGGGCTGCCGTCTTGGCACCATTTGCCCTCTGATTCCATGGGAGTGGAGAACCTGAGATGTAGATAGCCCACACATCCTGGAGACGGGGGCGCCACAGTGGGACAGGGTCCCTGGCTGTTCTCCCGGGCCTCTCCTCCCCACGGGGGCAGGGCCATTAGGAAAATGCCCAGCTGCACACGCCCCAGCCCCTCTCACTCACCAGGACAGCGGGCTCGGGGCTCTGTAGGCGGCTGGTCCCTCCAGTCCTCAGAGGGGCCTGTGGCTGTGCCGGTGGGGAGGCTGCAGGGCTGCTGCCCGGCCAAGACTGTGGGCTGGTCGGAGGCTTATCTGGGGAGCAGCCTGGAATGCGAGTGAAGGGCCTGCGCCTGGGCGGGGATGCTCTGAGGCCACGAGGCCACTTGCGGGCTGTGCTGCCTGTGCTTGTGGGAGTGGGGGGAGGGAGCACGTGGGGGCTCTGCGTCTGTGTGTATGGTTGTGGGGGGCTCCGCGTGGGGGGCATGTTGGGGGCTCTGCGTCTGTGTGTATGGTTGTGGGGGGCTCCGCGTGGGGGGC